CACCCATCATTTCATCACACCACGGAAAACAGGCAAAACCTGGTACCACAGACTTACTGCCTGCGAAGTAATCCCAGGTAAAACCTGGGTAAATTTAAAATGTTTCTTCACTACTACCTTTTTACTTTCATCCAAAAGAAGCTCTACTTTTTAAAATCACTTTTGCCCTCGATCTTCAAAAATGAGGCCTTAATCAAATTATAATAAAAAATAAAAGAACAATTTCATCGAAACATACCTTTCCTATGATTTGCGAATATACTCATTGTGTATTATGCGAATATTAGTTATAATGCATAAGAATATTTTCCAAAGTTTAAAAAGTGTCAGAATAATATCTTTAGAATAGTTGCAGCAGTATTCTACTTCAATATGTTTTCTATTTATTTAACATTCAGCTATTTTCTCATCCTAATATAGGACTCAGCAAATACAGGCTAATATAAAAACAGACACACTCTCTATGTTAGCCATCTTCACTTCAGAAGGAATTAATGAGCAGGTCAGGAATGTTTTGTTCAGCATGAAGAAGGATAAAGCAAAAGCATCATGGCTAGAGACAGTGACATAAGTGCATAAAATAATAAGAAAAAAAGACACTGAAACTGGTCCTAAAAATCCTGGCTTTTGAGACTCTGAGAGCTGATACTGAATGGTGGGGTACACAGGCAAAAGTGCAATGTGGCACTTGAATTGTGTCATCACCAAACATTTCAGGTAGTTTTCCTCACAGTTTGCCTCCTTCGGTATAATCTGCGCATTAGATGAAGTTTTTGCGTGATGGGAAGAACTGTAGAACATGGATTTTTCTCTAAAGGTTAGGGCAATCGCTCCCCTGTAACATTCCTAGCACCTCCTTGCTATGTCTGCTAATTGGCTTCAGGCCTATTTACCAAGACAAGGTAGTGAAAATGGCAGGCTCCCAATTAGCTTAACTTCTCTTAAGGTCCCTCTACTTTCTGGTTCTAAATTCTTGCAATCATGTGTTCTTAAAATTGCTGCCTCCCTTTCTGTGAAATTTATAAATTGCAATAAAAAGTGGGGATATAAGAACAAGTTAGCATATGATCTATTAACTGCTAACATTAAATTATAGTCTATACACAGTCGGGAGTGGTAATGGTTATAAAGAATTCAGATTTCTTTTTTTTTTTCCTTTATTTTTTCAAATACATTTGTCTCTGCCTACCCCCCACCACTTTCTCTTGCCCCCTCCTTCCTTCCCTCCCTCAGCTCTTCCCCTTTGGTTTTGTCCATGAGTCCTTGCTATATGTTCCTTGACTTTCCCCTTCCTTTCCTTTTCCCACACCACCCTCCCTCCTTCCCTCTTGTCTCTGTTGATTTCTTTTCCTTTTAGTGTTGCTGGTCTTATTTCCCTTGCATCTTTGTATTGTTGGTTAGGTTCCACTTATAGGTGAGATCATATGGTATTTGTCTTTCGCCCCCTGGCTTATTTCGCTTAGCGTAATGCTCTCCAGTTCCATCCATGCTTTCACAAAGTTTAGTAGTTCTTTTTTTAAAGAACTCAGATTTCTTAAAGGACTGTTAAATATCAGAACTAAGAGTTTTGTTGCTTTTATTGTTTCCTTTATCTCCAAATCAAAATGTCAGAAGCATCAACACTTTTTCAAGGCAATACAACAACAACCCATTTATTTTTCAAATCCTTTGTGCTTCCTCTGAGATCTCTCAGAAAATACAGTCATAAGACTGACCTAAGAAAAGGGTGATCTTTGAAAGATACACAGTCCTCTGCCCTCTGAGATGAACCTGATATAGGATTCAGCTATACACCATTCTGAGCAAGGTGAGCTACTCATTGGAGAGGAGGACTACTATTTTTGGAAAAAAAGGTTGAGGTTGACTCCAAGAGCTTTCTGGTACAGAGTTCTAATAAGATACACCATCTACCTTTAATGAAAGAGGTGTAACTTACCAATATTCTAAAAGAGTGAAAGAAGATTCAATATTCCCTTATGTAGGACCAATTCCACAAAAAGAGAAAGATACATTCAGCTTCCAGAGGTGCCTGCCAGCTCAGCATTCTACACAGTCTATTGTCCTTTGCATCCCTACTGTTTATTCCCACTGGCAAAGCTGATGTGGTCATAATTGCCTTCAAAAAGCAGAGATAATGAGAGACAAGCACTCTAGTAGGAAATAGAGCAAAGCCAAAACCATTGGAAGCATATAAACTCTAGGATTCTATTGACCTCCTTAGTCCAGATGGCACGAGGAACACTGCCATCAGTTCCACCCAGGTGATCCCAAATCGCACAGGCAGAGGACTGATTTTTTTAACCATATTAAACACTCTTTTATCTATATGATGCCATTCTCTTTATTATTTTAATGGGGAAAACTAACAAGGAAAAGAGCCACAGACAAGGCCCTTAAAGTCAGATAACTCAGAGGAAACAATTAAAAGAATAAATCTATAATTAAATAGGAATAACTGGAAGAGATGTCCAGTGCATGCAGCCTAACTTAGTAGATTTCTTCTGCCCCAACAACTGTGCTTACTTTTAGCCAAAGTTTTAACATGGGTTTGATTAGTTTTTGCTATTCTTGTCCAGTTAAGTTGATTTTAGTCTAGTTAATTATCTTCCTTATGTGAATTTAGTGAGTGGATAATCATTTTTAAACCTAAGTAAAAAGATGGTTTTAGGCTCAAAAGTCATAACTAATGTCATCTACATTAGACTACCCAGACTAAGGAAGTACTTATTTTTACAAAACTTACTTATCATGGAACAAATACTTCAAGTAAATTCAACAGAAACAAATCAAGACAGTCTATAGGGGAAAAAGCTGTGTATGTGGCTTCTATATGCAATCCTTTGACTTGCAAAAGAAAGCATTTTATACAACTTTACAAAGAAAAACCATATTACTTCCTTAAAAAGAAATCTACAATTGTAGTAGCAAGATAAAAGTTATATTTTTAGAATATAATTAAATGTATCATTTTCAAAACTCTGAGCTGACAATTTTTTCTCCTTATTGTGCAATAAAAATGGTCATATTTACATGTTCAGCTCACTGTATCCTCCTCCTTGCTTTAACAGAACCTGACTGCATTCAAGGATGCGTGGCTGTGTTTCGGGGAAGGGACAGGGCCACACCCTGCCAGAACTCCAGGAGGTCAGGCTCAATTAAGCACAATCAGTCTGAACCAAGACTGGCACTCTTACTCCCTTTGATTTAGACCTGGACAGACAAGTAATCCAATTCCCCACATAAAAACAGAATGCTGGGGCTTGCTTTCAAAAAGTGCCATGAAGGAGCAAAGGGCACTGTTCCTCTTCCTCTGTGCAAGCATATGATGGCTGGAGTTCCAGTAAAAAAGGACCAGCTCAAGAGCACAGAGCAAAGAGCCCCATAAAGGCTCCTGGAAGGGACAGAGAATCCAGATTCCCAACGAGGCCTTCCCTTACCCCTGGCTTATTAATGAATAACATTTCCTTTTGCAATCTAGATTTTCTGTTATCAGCAGACCACTTTAACCAGGCATGATTCTACCTCCTTTGAAGGTATTTTATCACTTGATACAGCAACTATGTAAGGCAGATTCTATGATTATCCCATTTGATAAATGAATAAACTGAGGTATGGACAAGATTACCCATGTGCCCAAATCTCATCTCAAATATTACATGTGGTAAATAGCTGGTAATCAGCTCGTCTGACTCCAAACCCATACAAAACCATCTAAATCTTTAAAAAAATTTTCTTCAAAGTAATAATGAAATAATCACACCAATTAGTTAAAAAATCTGTATTATTTTGAGAAAATTATGTTTTTCCTGAGTAAAACTTCCCTGGTTTCTTAATTATTTAAAATTATTTCAATCATACAATGTTTTTGTATGCTACCATTTACTATAGAATAGAAATTAGTACATTTACCTTACCATCCCTGGTATCAAAGGTAAACCATCCTTTTTAAAAGTTTTATATTAGAATGCCCCACATACACAAATTATTTTAGAAGGTTTATGCCATAAAACGGACTGAGATTAATTAAGTAAAACAAAACTTCTTTCTACTGATATCATTAACCTAAAACGAAAAACAGCTATTCCATATCTAGGCAACATATTAATAATTTTAAAAAGTATTGAAACAGAGAAACAATGAAACATTCGCTCACTGAGTACTCACCTACTCTCCCACTCATATGAACATTTAAAGAAAATAACTAAGTGATGAAATAACCAAATAAGGGAATTTCTAACATCAAAACTATTAAAAACTATAAATAAAACACTGGGACTGATAATAAAAAAAATTAAGACTTTTAAAAAACACACTGAAAGAATTTCATTTTTATACAACGAAATTTACCAGATAAATTCTTAGTCTTCATATGAAGAGAACACTGATATATTAGCTCTGCAAACAATCCTTCTTCCCACAACAGGAACCGTTATTTATATTGAACGGTAAGCAATTCCAATTCCATGAAATATAGGAGGCTACCATGCACAGTGAAATAAGCAACGCTAAAAATTTATAAACCTAAAACAGGTCCTTGGCATGTATGAAAGAATAAGTCCCCCAAACCTGACAAATACTCTAAATTCTGAAACAACACTACAGCATATACTTCCCTCATAAAGTGAAGTCAGGTATAACAAAACTCTAATTTGCCTCTTTAATTTACTGCCTATGAATGAAGAGAGTAACCCGTAAGTAGTCTGGAAAGCCTACTCAAAAATTTCATTATTCACTCCAAATATCTATGCCTCTGCCACATATCAAACCCTGAAGTTGTGATGTTTCAGAATATACAGCAAATATTTACAAATGCTTATGAGAAATCTGTGCTCAAAATACTCAACATTAATGTTAGAGAACCTTTGACATAGAGCCTGTTACTTACCTAAAGTGTGTTAGAATAATTTACTTGTAATCATCATTGTAATGGAGGGAAACATTTTGATGTGTGCGCTAGGAAGTTATATCAAAGACACATATAAAAAATTCATTTATGTTACCTGTTCTTGCTTCTCCAGCCACTTGTCCACCATCGGGTGACTAGCACTCAGAGACGAGCGAGCATTGTCTCTCTGAAACTGGTTGGACCAGTTACTAGTATCCCGTGGAAGGCTTCTGTAGTTTTCATCTTTCTGTTCAAAAAGAAACAAAAAGTTTTTTTGTGAAAAGCCAGAACTTGCAAATTAATGATGCACCTGGTTTGTCAAAAGTAGCAGAAAAACAATTCCACATATATAAAATATTTTTACAAGCTTATACAAAATAGCTGATTGGGAACATTTCGTCTAGACTAGACCTGAGAAATGGAACCATGAGCCTAGGATGACTACAGTAAGGAATGCAGCACTCCTGTGTGTGCACATGTGCACACAGGAGACAAAACAGGATATTCTGTACGCCCTTCCAAACCAATCTTCCCAAGCCAAGCCCATGCAAACATACTTCCACACAGAAGTTTCACTGGTGTTTTCTCTTCTTCTCATGTCCAATATTGTAATAATACTGTGAGATATTTTCTGTAATTTAGCAAAAATGTATAAAATAAGGAAGACTAATGAACGTGGCTCCCTACTTTAGATCTTTGTATGACTTTAAGCAAGAGACATAAGATCCTCTGAACTATTTCAGTACCTACTTCACAAGCTAATTTTATTTGAAAGCAATAATTCAAATATCAAGTAAAGAAAAAAATTAGTCTATTCCAATACATGGTACATAACAGACATGACTGTTCAACACAACATGCTTATGACAAGTGATATCTTACATAAAAACCTAGGTAATAAATATTTATTTAAAATGCCCCGGAGCAACCACATGCTATTGTATGTTTCTTTTAAATAATAGCTTAAACAACTTCCTGCCAGGCTGTAAAACTTAATTTCAATGTTCTAAAAAGAAATGAGAAGACTAGGATAAAGCAGGGAACTCAAACATTTCAATATCTAAATCTAAATAAAATCTCCTACAAGAACAAATTAAAAATGTTAACCTGAATTCAACCCACTTACATGAATGCCCCACTTTAAGAAAAATAGCAAAATATTCTTCTTAATAACTTCATTAAGGGTAAGCCGTCTGTACATCTTATATACATGATCAATTCTTATTCTTCATTTTCTAAACCCTGATTAATGAATATAAACACAGAAACAAGAAAGTGTAATACAATAGGTTTGCATTGTATACACCTTAGCAATAGACCAGGGTAGTGGTTTTTTGGGTTTTTTCCCACTCATGAGTTCCATCAGAGAATAAAACTTAAAAATGAATGTAAAGTCTTGGACCTATTCCCATACTGTGACATATGAAAAAAAATTCATCTATACATATTTACCAGTATAAACTTTAGCATAAAATATTTTAAGTTTTTAAATTAATTTTCAGAAAATAAACTTAAAACTCAACAGTAGCATTAAACTCTAGTGGCAAGTACTTTTTCCTAGAAAACTCGGTACTTTTCTGGTCAGTGCAGCTCAAGAAACTGTGAGGGGGCATAACAGTGAGTGCAGAAAGATGCTGCTAAGATTCAGATGCTGCTGACTGTGCTTATTGGAATTTGGAAATGGTAAAATAAACAGAGGATATAGACACAATCTAAAGAAAGAATGAAGCAAATGAAAAAACTAAAACTCATGTATCCCCAAATACTAAAAGCCGCTCCTTAAAACATGAGCACGATAACTTAAGAACAAAGCAAAACCTAATGTTTAACATGGTGGCCCATAAACTTACTGACAAAAAAAATAAAGGAGATTCAAATAAGTCATAAAGGGTAGATGAACTTATTAATGACAGAAACTTCAGTGTCCATTAAGAGCAGAGGGATTGGAAGTGCAGAGAAACAGAAGTAGAATTTTTATGTCAAGTATCTCAGAGCTAACTACCAATGGCTGGGAGTCTGACTGTTCTATTCATTTTCCTCCTCTAACGTGATTATCACACCAACTCTTTACTTTGACAATAATTAAACACAAAACATTAAAAAAATACATTCTGACTTTCAATAGAAACTGTATTTCAGAGAAGCCAATAGATTCAGTAGAAGAGGGGAGGCTTGTCTTTTCGGAAAAGTGCCAAGTAGAAAAACCAAAATAATAAAATTACAAAAATCACCATTTTCAACTCCCAATTAAATACTTTATTGAGGCAAAGATAATCAATGGATGTTAAAATGTTTAAGTAAAAAGTTTATACTGAACTGGGTGTGTGCATAGTGACAAAATACCACTTGCAAAGGGAAAAATATATCTTTAAAATCAAGAGACCAGATATCACAAACTTCTCACTTTCCTTGGTGTAGAGAATCTGGTATGCTACTGGTACTCCATGTGACTCCTTCTGAATCTCTGTCATTGCTCCTCTTCCCATAAATGGCTCTTATTTTCACTCTTTCTATAAACTGCTTACTAGTGTCTCCCCAGACAAGCTCAAAAAGTATAAAGTTTTAAAGCTTCCTCCCCAACAACTCCTAGGCACAGGTCACCAACACTAAATTTTTCCTGAATTCATGACCTAAATTTCCAACAGGATGTCCCAAAGATACCTGAAAATCAATCGATTCAAAATGAAACTATGTATCAGTTCCAGCACCATGATGAAAAACATTCATCATCCTCTTCACTTTCTGCCTCTCTAACCCCACAGTTGCTAAGACTTGGTAATCACTGTTCCTCGCCAAGGTTTTTTACTTTGGCCATCATCCATTCAGGATCAACTTGTCATTCCTCTGAAATTGCGAGAGCATCCTACCTAGACACCGGCTCAGCCTGACCCTCTCCCACAGTGCTCTATGCCACTTTCTGCAAAGGACTTTTCTTAAATACATGTCCGGTCGCATCACACCCAGGATAAGTGCTGTGCGTGACCAGAGGAAACTGGGCAAGTGTGCTTGGTGTGCCACATGCCTCTTTGCCTTCACTCATCATCCTTCTGAGTCTTGAAAACTCCAAGAATGTCCCTTCCATAAAAATACCACTTTCAACCCCCATTTCAGGGACTACTTTCTCTAAGAAGCATTCCCTGATTATCAATACACTAATAACATCATGTTTTTTGTTACTACACTATATTCTAATTTTACTTCTAATTATAATTATAACTTATAATTTAGTTAATTTTTTAAGTTACTATTTCCAGAGAAACCCATGCAGGACATCAGCATTCATCTTTACACACAAGCACTTGGCTCAGTGGTCTACGCCAGTGTAAACGGATTTTCTTGAATACAGTGTTTTCTATTTTCGCATGGTTTCAGAATACTAACATTTTAAAAGAACACTTTCATAAGTTGTTTAAAAAACTGATAAGGGAATGCCTTAAAAGGCATAAAGATAAACCAGTAAAAATGCAATAACAGAATTTTCAGATTTACACTAACAGATGTATACCACTGGTATGTGTCTATTTGAATTGAATATATGTGGAAAATGTAATTATTTCCAATCACATCTAAAAAGCAGTGTGGAATAGTTTCAGTTACCTCAATTACAGCAAGGGGTTCATGAAGTAGGTCACCACACAATAATCACAGATACACGATTGCTGCAGATCAAAAGGTCAGCCCTTTTGAAATCCAGCTTAAGAACTCTACAGTTTTATAGTCTTAATCAATTCTGTGAAGTTGATTGAAAAGAAAAATAACACTGACACTAACTCTCATAACAAAAATGTTTTAATAATTCAACATTGTAATAGTAAAATCAATAATGAATTCATATATTAATTTATTTCTGATGTATGAAAAGTAAACTGCAAAAATCTTCACTCATTTTCAGGTAAGTGAAGAATTTCTAAAATACCTTATCAATCACTATGCAACACATACGTTATTTTGTTGATAACATTATGTAGGTATTACTACCTTTCAGCCATGACTTTACTGACAATTCTGTCTGAAATTTGGACCAAGTACATACAGAGAGTACAGTCCTATAAAGCTATGATTCTGTATGTATGAAATGAGTTCATCACTCAACATCATAACATTAATATATTTTCTACTTCACAATATACGGTTGGATATTAACTGCTTCCAATTGAAATGTATATAATATGTTCTATTTTCAATCTGGAAACATTTATTTTGATGTAAATGTTTTTTTTAAATGGTAGTCTTCACTATGTCTGTGTAAAGCTAGCTACATCTTTCATGAATCAAAATAGTTAACTATTTTTAAAAAATCAAAATTTTTAGGTTAAATGTATTTGCAAAACCTGTATTTCATAAACTAAAGAATGGAAAACCAAACCAACAAATTTTTTTGCCATTAATATTTCTGAGACAAGTTAGAGCTGTATTTATAATAAATTGCAGAATGTGATTTTAAATCAGTTTCATTCTATGAAAAAATTAATGCCTCCAATTTGTATACTGGTAAACTTAAAAATAAAACAAATCTTTTCCTTTAGACTTATAAAAGTTTATCAGTAGTACCAATATGCAAAACACTAAAGATTATTAAATTTGCTAATAACAAGAAATAATCGACTGTAATAAGTAAAACCAGTACTTTATCTAAAAGATTATATAAGAATAATACCATGAGGAATTATTCTTTTTTTTTTAAATTATAACCTTAATTCTCTACCTTTGAGGCTGGCCCACTCAGCTTTGCTGCTGGGTGAGAAACTTTTCCTCTTGCCAGAAAAAAACAGATGTTCCTGCCTTGAGCAGGAATTTTTCTTATCATCTAAAAATGTACTGCCACATCATCAGTTGTCAAAAGCTACCCAGGCTGAGAAATGCATGGTAATTCATTTTTCCCTGGTAGCAGTATCCTGGCTGTGGAGTAAATTTCTTCCACTGTAAGAAAAGTAACTGTCTTCTCACCCCCTACTTCCTCCCCCAAGCCAATTGCAATTCAATAAAATCACACAGAACCTACCAACACTTTGGGAGAAAATTTTATTCTGGCATGCTAAACTGCAATTCCAAGGCTTTATCTCTCAGAAACAGCTACTTAGCTGATGGTCAGATTTCCTGGCAAGCTTACACTCCTACATTGCAGAAATATATTTAGAATATTTCATGAACACTACAGGAGTAATGCATATTTCTATATTAGCATAAGAAATCCAGCTATGTTTCACTTTGTTTCAATACAAAAAATCCAAAAAAAAATTTTTTTTA